CTAAATTACCTCTAACAATGAAAAGTGCTTCCAGCAAGTGTGAGGGAGGCATAGTTTAAAGCATTCTGTTATAAGCATAAGATTTCTTTGAAGGTTCATATTTTATCTTAAAAATTCATGCAGATTTTGCGATTATTTCTTTTTTTCTTTTAAGTAAATGTTTTATTTAAGAATTATTTGGGATAAATGGAAAAGTTACTGGGTTAGTAAAGAGAATTCCCTATTTACCCAGTTTTCCTAATTGTTAACATCTTACATGCCTGTGTTACATTTGCCAAAACTAAATGATTCACAGTTATATGTTACTAAACTCCAACCTTTATTGGGATTTCACTATTTTTTCCACTAATATCTTTCCCTGTCTTTTCTTATTTTTCATGACATTGATTAACTCTTTTGAAGATTACTGGTCAGGATTTTGTAGAATGTTCCTCAACTTGCTTTTGTCTGATGTTTTTCCACATGATTAGATTGGGGCTATGGATTTTGAGGAAGAATACCGTGGAGTGAAGTGCTCATCTCATCACATCAGGGGGTACATAATAGCAACACAACTTTTCCCTGGTGATGTTAACCCAGATCACTTGGTTAAGGCAATGTTTTCCAGGTTTCTTCACTGTAAAATTATGATTTTTCCCTTTCCCCACTCTGTCCTTTAGAAGTGTGAGTCACTCAGTCCAGACCACATTCAAGGGGAGGTGCATTAACTCCACACCTTGGATGGGGGAGTGTGGACATATACTATTTGAAATTCTTCTGTAAGGAAGACTTGTCTCTTTCCTCCTATTTTTTAAACAAATCATTTATTTATATCAATTTGGATTGGTATTTTCTTAACATAAAACAATGCTTTTTACCCCCCACATCCACAAGTGGAATTGACTTTCAAGAAACATGTGTATCCTGAGGATTCTCATACACCTAACATGAAGTTTGAGAAGCACAGACAAAATCCAAGTCCCCTAGGCCACATTCTTGTTTCCTTTGAATCATAGTCTTTAATAATACTTGTAAATGAAAGATTAATAACACACATAGATGAATGATAAAGATCATTAGTGTTGTTTGAGGGTAAAGATGTTTGTCTCTACCACCAGTGTCTGACCAAATACAGGCATACTTCAGAGATATTGTGAGTTTGGTTCCAGACCACTGTAATAACACAAGTATCACAATAATGTTAGCCTTAATCATTTTGCTAATTAACGCTAAACCTGTGAAGCACAATAAAACACAGTATGCCTGTAGCTACTCATATTTCTCCTTTTGAAATTCTTTAAAGCACTCTAAAAAGCTTCCATATTAAGACTAAGTGTTAGAGAGAAGTTGATTCAGCCACTTTTCGAAGATGTCTCTAGACTATTCCCTCAAAGCATGTCTTTAACAATACAGAAACCTTTACAAGGTAGAAAAAAGCAGGTGGAGAAGGTAGGCATCCAGAGGCTTGTTTTCACCTGCCGGAAATCAGAGATCAATTGTGGAGCCGAAGTAGTTTCTAAGCATTCTCATTGGTCCGCACCCACGAAGAAGGCGGGGCTTCGAGTATAAAAGAGAAGGCTGTTAGGGGCTGTTGATTGCTCTGTTGCTGGGAGAGGCCTGGGGTATGTGGCAGTGGGTGATGTAGTCCAAAATTTTATAGGAATTCTGGTGCTAAAAAGTCTTCTGGTGGGTGGAAAAAACCAAACTTTTTGTAGACCTCAAGGGGAATCTTGGTTAGCTTTCTTTAGAAGTGAAAGATGAACGAAAGAAAAAGAGAAAGAGCATCTAAGTAAAACAGATTAAGGAACTGGAAAGAAGAGAAGCTAGTGTTCTATGCAGACAAAAAATAGGAGGTCACTTAGCTTCTTGAAGTCATTTTATTAGGTACGTCTTCTCGTCCTCGAAATACAGATAGATGAGAAACTTTTCAAACTGCTGTGGTTTCTAAAGGGAGTTCATTCTTGAGCTTAAGATTGAATCTTGAATTTTGAAAGTTCTCTCATGCTGAAATCTTAAGAAGTCACCTACTTTTTATCGATTTCCCTTTAACCTCTAGCATAAAAGATACTTCAGCAAAATCACTCTTATAAATCTCCTTTAAAAGAAATACATAGGTTTAGAGCTTCTATGCTTAAAACTCAGTATCTTGCTTTCTTCATAAAAAGTGTCTAAATGGCTTCCTTCAAGCCTTCCACTGGAACCCTAAAATCTCTGTTGGAGAGAAACTCCTCTTTAGAGTAATGGCAGGAAGCGAGGAACAGCTAGCCCCTTTCTTCCCTATTTCAAGATTAAAGATTGAATCAGCTTGGGTGAAAACTGGGATAAAAGCATAGGCTTTTTGGATTAGACTTATTTGCGGGAAGGAAATGTCCTTTGTGATAATGAAGAGAACTGAAGTGAACTTCAAGCATCATGTAATATTTGAGCCCTCTTACCAGGGAGTTAAGTTCTTAACCATGTTCCTTTTGAAAGCAGCTCTTTGAAGACAACAGAAAACCTGAGGGCTTGAAGCCCACTTTTCCACCTAGATGTGGAAGTGTGGGGTGGAGGAAATTTATTACCTCACTTTGAGTTCCTCATTTGGTGTCATATTTGCTCACCTGAAAGCACTTCTCTGAAGATGAGTAGGAGAAGCTTTTGCATTTGGGATAGCGAGGAAACCTAAGCTGGTCAGATGGTGGTTACCCAGAGCACTGAGGTTTGGGAGGCTTCCTTTAGCTTATCGAGACAAAAATGTCTGTCATAGGGAAAAGGGGTAATGTGGCATCTTTGTGACACTCAAGAGCATACCATGTGATGGGTATGTTTATTATCCGGACTATGATTTCATAAGTGCTATAGAGAAAATTGTGTCACAGTTCCTGTGTGTCAACTATATAAACAAAAGTTTTTCTCTTGTAAATCACACTATAGTCAAACACCTAAGTCTACCTGCTTTAAGAAACCTGGAAAATGGAAAAAAAGTACAAGAGTAAGGACATGAACCTTCGTTCACCCTCATCCCCATCAGTGGGGAGTTATTTGTTTACACGGTTCTTTGTAAAGAAGCAGGGTTCAAGGAGAAGAGCAAAGATACCCTGCTCAAGAGATGTGTAGTTCTTGGTTGCAATCTGTTTGACATAGAATTATTTGGCAGAAGAGATTTGGGATCTTGAGAGTCACTGCTAGTTAAAGGTTATAACTAGAATTGAGGTGTTGGGGCATGTGGTGTGAGAAGGTCCTGCAGGATGAAGCCCAGGGGCAGGGATGGGTGACTGTTTCTCCATGGCTGCCTAATGACACTGAAAAACAATTTTCGGATTACTCATCTTGTAGGGTTCTCACCTGTAACTGTTCCTTTACTGAGCAAAAATTCCAGGAATTCCAACAGTGGGTAAACTGGTGACTTAATTGTCAACCAAGAAACCTAGTTAAATTTCGGTTTGAATTCTAAGATACTAAGTGCATGGTATGCTTTGTTTACTAACTCCCTTTCCATTTCTGTAAAGTTATTCAACCATAAAAACCAAGAAAAACAAAAAAGCCAACCTACATATACATCTTCAAATCTACAAAATACCCCAATGAATTATTGGGCAAAGAAAATATTCTACTGTATGGTCAGTATGTTGTAACTGCTAGCCCCCGAAAGACACACGGACCACCAGAAATCAGTGAGTTATAGGGAACACACTCTTTATTCAGCCAGCTGGGTCTGCCAGGGGTACGCAGACCCCAAATTAAGCAGCCCCGAAATGTAGAAGTAGAGTTTTTAAGCCCTAAATCCCATTCCTCATTCTGTCTTAACACAAGTCTATTTTTCTTCTATTTACTGTCGACCCACAGGTCGGGTGTGCAAGCGGGAGTACAGAAGCAGAAAGCTTATTGTTAGAATGTTATGTTCTTATGGGTGACAGCCTATGTTCCCATGGGCGATAGCCAAGCAGTAATTTTCCAGCCAGCACAAGTACTAATAGTGGAGGTACTGAAAAGTTTACCTTTCCCACCATAGAAATACTGGGCAAAACCATTGCTGTCTACTTCTACCCATCTAATCAATTAGGGGACTCAACTGCAGGAGAGTCCTATAAAACTGGTGGCTATAGGTGTTACTGCCTAGGCCTCTGGAGAACCACATGCTTCTAAATATCAAACTGTGTATGATGGGTTAGAAGACAAGTTCACAGCTAAAACCATAACTGGAAAGGTGGGAGAAAAGGTTGAATAAAAGCTTAATTGTAAACATTCTTTTAGAACAAGACATGGAAGAGTGTAGGATGCCCCTCTGCCAGTGGGAATCTTCTGTGTGGATTCTTTGAACTTCAGTATGAAGTGCTTTCTGCTTTCTGTCCACTGGGCACAATTCAACCTGAATCTCTTCTTACACTTTCTCAAAACTCGCCTGACCAGCTCTTGCTAGCTCAGACTGACTAATCCTTAGGGTGGCCTTCACTGAAATTCCTCAGCTGGGCTAAGGTAGTTGTGGGTTCAGCTCATTCTATAGGTTTCTGCTTAGAATCCAGTGTTCACCCACAGCACGAAGGGCCTGTGGCTACTTTCTGGTTAGCCATGTATTATATTTCTTGGCAACAAATCTATCTAAAACTGTCCATGGTTGAAGACCACTATATCTTAATTTTAACATGCCGCTCAGACAAATACTAAGCAATAAAAAGCGGGTAGTAGGAAAATTGTCGAAGGCGAGGCAATTCAGTGATAGAAACTGGAGCCAGGTGAACTAAAACCTTGCCTCTGGGAGAAGCTGTTCTTCAGAGACTTGTTGAAGTAGCTGTGATTATAACTCCCACCCCCACAAATCTACTTGTGGGTGGGCCAATATTACATGTAACTCAGGCCTGTGGCTTTTGGACCTCTCGTGGAATACTACATTGCGAAGTAAGAAAAGCCTGCTGTTGGAACAGCAGGAGAGAATGTATGCAGACCCCTTATTTCTAGCCTACTGCCTCAACAGGCCCAGAGAATATCCAAGGTACTTGGGAATGCAGTTTCAATACAACACTTCATCTTATTGAAAGATACTCATGCTTGCTTCGGCAGCACATATAGTAAAATTAGAACGATACAGAGTAGATAGGCATGGCCCCTGCACAAAGATGAAATGCAAATTCATAAACTGTTCCATAGTAAAGAAAACAAACAAAAACCCATTAGTTGTCAAAATGAATCCCTGTTAAGGAAGGCACCTGAAGTTTGTATCTGGTTACAGCATTCTCTAAATTCTTAGGCTGCTTCTAGATAAACTCCTTATCTAGGCCTAATCACATTTCTTGTGGCAAACTTAAGCTTAAGTAGAACGGAACACTCTCAGTCTCATGACTTCCATGATGTCTATTTCAGTACTGTTAGATCTGAGAGCTTCGATGGGATGGAGGTGAAGTTGGAGAAAGTGCTCTTACTGGGGAGCTCTGGCCTTCATTAACTCCAATGGCTGACATTTCTCCCTCTGAGGAACCAATCCTTTAGAAGCTTGTGGGTAAGAACTGAGGTAAACAGCTTATCCAGGTCAAATAGTTTCCCCTCCCCTACCTCCCAAACTAGAGCCATGGCCATAAGCCTGGTGACTGGAGCAAGTGACTGGCTGGTAGCAAACAGTTCTCTGAAACTTGCTTCATGTGAGATTGGTCTGAAGACGACTGTCAACACCCCTGGAAAGGAGGCCTTGTCCTCCTGTAGGAGATGCAACACAGCTAAAGGAAAAGACACCCATTGTGACTTAAGGTGCTTAATCAATGGCAATGCACAAATCACCACAGAAAAGGGTGAGGGAAAGCTGGCTGGGAATTCGAACTGTCTTCAAGTCTGGCTTTTTTTCTTTGAATTAACTTTGAAAATGATGCTGGAGTGGACTTCATATTTGGCCTAAACTTCCCATTATAATGCCCCATCCGTCTAAAACACATAGCAGAGTCTCTTCATGGTAGAAGTACTATGCCTCTTATTGTTACACTCATGGGCTCAGAGTGCTTTTTCAGTGATGTGCTATGTTAAGGAGTATAAACCTGCTTAAGTGACTGATTAGAACCTGAGATGATGCTGTGCCTGTGTAAAGCCCAATGTAAGTGAATATCACATTGAATTAAGTTTTCTCTAGAGAGTAGGTGGGGGGGAATTCTCTTTACAACAAAAATCCTCACTTAACTCTAGGTGAACTGATTCAGCCTGGCTTGGAATTCAGAACAGCTGGGTTGACTTTTCACAGGTGTTTATATTCACTGGAGGCTTTGCCAGGGTGTAGCTTTTGTCTTGGGAGCAGGAAGGTAGAGAAGAAAGAAGGGTGTCTGCTCCTAAATCCTGCTTGAGAGACCTGTAGTGAGGCTGAAGGGCATGAGAGACTGAGGCCCAGACTCAAGCTGGGCTGCTGTGCAGGCCGAGGCGTGTGATGTAGAAAGGAAGTGAGGTGATAGTATTATTCTTTTAATAATCAGAGTTAGGTTCTCACACGGTGAAATGGAGAGAATGCAGATCCCCTTGGTTCATTTAAAAGGTAAGAAGTTATAATAGTAGTACTTCCCTCAGGGATTTTTGGGCAGTTGACATTTACCTACAAGCAGTACCTAGACCAACTTTTCCTTAAGCTTATCTGGGGCCCAGATAGAACTTTGAGGCACTTTGAGGCCTTGCCATTGTGGATGGTGGTAGTGGTAGATATGAGCCAGCAATATGGACTTTGATGCTAGTATGATCTCTTTAGTCATAGGGGGCCGAAACAGGAGAAAATTGGGGTTTTGTGTTTATTTTATAGGCATAAAACCCCAAATAATGTGAAACTTCCTGTATGAAATGTTTGAAGAGCGAAAGGGCAGAAGCAGAGTCAGTATGCTCTACCATGCCGGTGTTAATTAAGGGAATACTTCAAGAGTAAAAGCTACCTACTTGCTGAGACTGCAAGTCCCCTAGTGATGCTGGCCAGCAGAAGCCCCAAAGTTGGGGAATGGGAGCCTAGGAGCTGGGAGCCTAGGGCCAGTACAGAAGTTGGTGGTCCAGCTGGCCACAAGTATATTAGGAGATTGGGTGTGTAGAATTTTTGGAATTTTGTAGGAATTTTGCAGCGTTGGCAGCGGGGAGGCATGCTGGTGGCATTGTCAGGTGGTGTTGAGGTACAGGCTTCAGAATCTAGACCTTGTATTGACTACTTCCGTGCAGATACACAACTTGTCACATCTCATGTGCAGAACGCCCAGCCACCCTCCAGCTGCAATACATCTTCAGAGGTCCTACAATCATTACGCAAATGGAGAAGTCATCTGGAGATAACTTTGTTAATCATAGCTAGGTGGGAGCATCATTCAGTGACTAGTAGCAAAACTATAAAACCCATTGACTTGGAGTTATTAAGATGTTTTGAATAACTTATGCTACATTAATTGGTGGCACTATTACTATAAAATCACTAATTTGGTTGCTATGTATCTTAAAATGTTTCAGGTATACAGTACATTGGCTAGACACTTAGAGTAATCGGGGGATCATTTCATGAACTCTATCACTCATCTGGTTCTACACATAGCCATTACAATACTACTGATTATAATCTCTCTGCTGTATTCTATATCCTTGTGACTATTTTTAAACTAATTTGTACTTCAACCCTTCACCTTTTTCTCCCAGACTCCCAAGCCCTCTTCCCTTTGGCAGTCACCAGATTATCCTGAGTCTGTTTTTGTTTAACTTGTTTCTTAGATCCTGTGCATAAATGAAATCACTTGGTATTTCTTTCTCTGACTTATTTCACTCAATATAATAACCTCGGTCATCTATGTCATTGCAAATAGTAGGATTTCATTTTTTTATGGCTGAATAATATCCCATTGTATGTAAACCATAACTCTATCCAATCATCTATTGATGGGGGTTTCTTGAATATCGACCCTAGCTGAGAATTATTTTATGCCTATAAGAAATGTTAATTATATCTGAGAAAGCAAGGATGCTATTTACTTTGTCAGTTATAACTCCAATGACCTGGAAGCTCAGGTGCTTTCTCACTGTGCTGCCTCTCTGTGATGCTGGAGTATTTCTTGTGTGACAGTAAGGGTAATGAAGAACCTCAATAGGTACTGATTGTTATGGCTCTGGTGCAGTTTTAAATCATATACCATACTTAGAACATTTTCCAAATGAGTTCGTAACCACTTAGCTTGTAGAATGGACGGGGCCAACTTGTGACTCAGACAATTATGATACAAGAGCTGTTTTCTTCACCTTGTAGGCTACCGGCGGTTAAGCTCTTAGAGAGGCAACTACTCCTTCATGGTAACTGGAAGGGTTCCTACAATCTGATGCCTTCTCAAGTTACCTTAACCTCTGAGGAGTTACTATTCTTACAGGCAGCATTTGCTTTGTGTGTTCTTCCAATAATTTGGAAAAGTTCAAATCGCAGAACAAGTGGCCTCAACCCAGTTTTAAGACGGGCTTTGAGTCTTTTTTCAGTTAAGATGTCTGTAAACACCAATTGTGGTCTTGAGCTAATATGTGATTACTCTGAATGGCCAGTCTCTTGGATTTCACCAGAGACACGTGACTTAATGGTGAAAGCATTTCTCCACCCTTGCCTATTGAAACAGAACTGGTCTTGATGTAAGTGCCTAAACCCAGCAATAGACAAAGGAGAAACTGGTATCTGACTAGACTCAGCACTTAATAGCCTGGAAGAAACTCGGCCTGCCGTACTCCCAGCTGTCAAATACCCAGTTTGTCACCTCAGTCAGGAAATGCTAACAGATGAAATCTAGTCAATATTTTGCCTTGTCCAAGAATCTACAGGGTTTTAGCAAAAGAGTAATGATCCTGTTTGGTAACATTTTCTCAGATTCTTAAATCATAATCATAATTCACAGGGCTTTTTTCATTTATTTTCTTGAGGTAACATTTGGTTAACAATGTCATAAGTTTCAGGTGTGACCATAGTGTTTCTTGGAGTTTACAAACTAGAAAACTTGGAATTACATTTTACAGGGCTTGTTTTAAATTATGATCAGGTTTTAAATGAATTGCCTGAACTCTTGCAACTTGGTTGGTAGTTGACAGATCTCTGTGCTTCTGTGGGGACACCTACTAACAACTTGAACTAACAGGTTCATCAGTTAGTTCAGAAGGGGCATACAGAAATTTTCTGAAGTGTTAGCTACTGCATGCCTTCCTGTTCTCCATCCATCCACATTGTTTGTAGCAATTGGGTGTATTTCGGGTTTACTCTAGAGTATTTTCTAAAGGTTCATATACCTCTCACAGAGGTGAGGAAGATTTATCAGATCAATAGATGACACAGATTCCCAGATGAACTGGAAAGTAGGACTACCAAAACAATGCTACAGGTATCCATAACAGCCTATGCAATGTTAACTTCCTTAATATCATGTGAGATCCTCTTTAGGTTAGGAAGTCAAGTTTGTCTATTCAGTGTACTTTAGTGAATTCCTCATTGAACAGCTCTTTTCAAGTTTTTCTATTTTGTTGATCTACATAACTGGAGGTTATCCTGCTTTAGTGGTCAACTCAAAGCAGGGTTCTCTTAAATGCCAAGAATCCCTTCTGTTTGTGTTCGCTAGTATTTTCCTGGTTCCATTCTTGTGTTCATGCTAGTTACTCTCTTGCCTAACTTTACACCACTTTTTCCTTCACCTATTTTGATCATTTATGTTCATGTTCTCTTCCCTGTCCTTAATCCATTTTACAACTTGGCTTTCATCTCAAGCAGATGGTTCTGGTTCCCCCTTATAAGTATTTTTAGTCTACATACATGTCTATTGCTTAAATATGTAGAACTATGGTGATGGTTATGTGAACAATAGATCAAGGTTATGACTAATTCTAAAACACGTGGATATAGACAAATAGTAGCAACAGTAGCTAAAACTTGATGTCATTGTACTGCTTCACATATACCGGTTGATTTATTCATAGTAAATACCTTATGGGGTAGTTTCATTATTTCATAGAGAACCTGAAACCCAGAGATTAAGTCACTTCCTTAATCTCAACTTTAGAAATTATTCATTTTAGGTTGTTTTGTTTACAACTAAACTGTCCTTAGGACTTGCTATAACATGACGATAAAACAACTATTTCACCTAATGCTTAATATTATAGTTAAGGGTTAGGTGTCACATAAATACTGAACTGTATCTC